TCAACTTTTCATTTAGATATTTGTTTCTTTTTTCAAAAATTCATAACCAAAAAATTTCTGCCATGTTTAAATAAATTTTTTCTCTCAGCTCAAATCTTTATTTTAGATGTTTGACATCAAATTTCAATAATTCATTATATTTTTTCATAACTATTTATTTCACATATCTGTAATAATGTTAAACACATAAAAAACTTAGTATAATATACTGTTTACTTGTCAAATGTCTTTTATGGTTTCTTCAAGGGGTAAACAGCTGAAACTTCAGCCTTGACATCTGATGAAGTCTTGTAAAATCTTTTAAAAATTTGAAATCTCTATGCTTGAAATTCGCTGTTTTCCCCTTGAAAGAGTAGGAAATTTTCAAAATTTGATCGAATAGAATGTAAAAGGAATGATGAAATCTTCTCTAATTTATGTTACTATCTTAAATAGAAAAAGAATCTATTAAACAGCTAAATTATTTGAATAAATCATACAATAAAATTTAAAATTTAAAAAAAAACTAACCTCATGCAATTCTGAGTACTCTCATAATACGTATAAGAGTTGGATTAATAGGAAGTATATGTCTACTATTCCTTTTTTCTAAAACAAATTCAGCTATTGATAATATAACTATTGTTATATCAAGTTGATTCCATCTTTACATAAATAAAACAAATAATAAAAAAATCTTTCTTTTTTTTTTAAATAAAATACTTCTCTTTAAAATAACGTAATGTTCCAAGAGCAATAATCTTTGATATTGATTCAAAGTTGTAAATACATAATTACAATAATCAAGAACTAAATCAAATGCCTATAGAATATTTAATAAATGAAAATAAAAAATAAAGAGAAATAAAAGAATACCGGTTGGATTAAACAAAATTCTAATAACATAGTAACTACATTAAGACCAATAACAGCAACAATAATTAAATCAAAATATTTACTATTATAAATATTATGCAAACGACTTCTCCATGGTGAAAAATGTGCATAATATAGTATTTCACGCATATGACGTCTTTTTTTGCATGTTTAGCTGTACATCGAGCTTTTTCTTCACGTTCTTGTTCAGCACGACATTTATGAAAATTTTCAACAACAACACCAACAAACATATTTATTACAAAAAAAACTAATAAGTAATAAAAATGATATAAAATAAACTAATTTA